GGGGGGGGGGGGGGGAAGACTGCAGGCATGAAAGGGCTGCCCAGTGCTGTCCCTGAAGACGGAGTGTACGATTACAAAGGTATGGGAACGGCTGGGCCAGGGAAGCACCCGCCGCGACGCAGGCGAGCAGGAAGGGCAGCGCAGCAGGAGGCTGGACGTGCTCCCCGGGGAAGCCGCTTGCTTGGCCCATCTCGACTTCGGCACTGCCCGACCCACGCGGTGCACTCAACCCCTGCCCTGCTGAAATACACCTGCCAGGTCTCCCTTCCACCCAGGGGCAGATGCACAGACCAAGTTTGTTGGTTTTTTTTTTCTTTCTCAGTGGCAGCTGATTGTTAGAAAATATTTTTTTTAAAGGATTTTTCTTTCTTTTCTTTTTTCTAGGAAGCAGCAGCTTTTTGTTTTAAAGCTACAAACTCAGGCATCTACCAACATGATTCATTCATTTGATTCTTAAACCGATTTCACACGTGCAGCATCTGCTGCGTTGCTGTGGACCCGCTGAGGGGGGAAGGCAATCCAGTGCTAAACCCCAGTGACTTGGGTTCAATTCCCACTTCGGTTACACATTTCCTGTGTGAAACTGGGCAAGTCATATCATCTACAGCCCCTGTTAGTCCCCATTTCTAAAACGGGGATACTTCCTTATTTCACAGATGTGTTCTGAGTCATCCACTAATGTCTGTGAGGCCCTTGGATACTACGGGAAAGGGAGAGACCCACAGAGATAAACAGGGATCCCTATAACTAGAAACAGACAGAAAGATCCAGGAGACTTTCTCTGCTCATTAAAAAAGTCTAGGATTGAATGCTGTGCTTATTAACTTTTACTTATACCCCACATGGTTTCAGCAACTTCCCTTCTTACCTTTCCAGGCAGGAAAGGGCACTGCACCGCGGGGACAGCAAACACAGCAATTCTGCATTTTGACAGCAAGGCACGTGCAAAGGGTTAATCTATCTTCATAACTTAGAGCAGTTTTTCCAGAAAAGCATTTGAGTCGGAACAGAGTAATTATTGCAAAATCTGCATATTTTAGAGCTAAATATTCCCAGAAATATCACCAGCAAAACTAGATGGGGAAAAAAAAAGCAACAAGCCTTGTGCAGCCTGGCAAGCATCACCCCCAGCAAGCCAGGGATGGAGCAAGGCTCTCTGCACCACAAACCCAGATATGGCAAAGAGCAGCTGGGAGCTCTCTTCCTCCTGTGCACACTCACCAAACGCAGAAGACACGGCAGTTTCATCCTCCCTTAGAGGCCAATACTCAGCTCTGCCCCATCCCGTGCAAACCTGTCACACAGTTTTAAGGCAGACCCAGCTCTTGCACACAGCCTTGTGTGTGCTGCCTAGACCAGCTCACGGCTGCTCCATCTCCACCAGTAAGTACAACCGGGATTTGAAGTCAGGCTCCTGCAGACAGGAAGGGCATGTCTATACACCACTCCTATATTCCAGAGGGTTTGCTGGAGTTGTTTTACATGTGTAAGAGAACTAATCCTGTTTGCTTTCAAACAAAACTCAAGAAAACCAAGTTTTCTCAAAATGTTTAAGATGACCCTCTAGAACTATTCAACGTTTGTGAACATGACGAGGGATTATGTGCATCACCATCACATCTCCAGAGGATTGTAAAAATCTCTGCTGCCTTCACTTCTCACACTCATTGGTGCAAGAAAGTCATTAGTAAACTA